GCATTGGCAACAAACACTTTTCAACATTTAATTTTATTTCATTATATTTCAAGTAATGAAGATATGTTATGGTTTCAGCTAAGGATAACACCCTGTTTTGCAGAGTTTACTGTACTCTTAATGCTGGTTTCAGTTCGAAAGCTTCAGCGCGAGCAGTGTAACGCCCTCACCTGCATGTACGCGTGGTTGGTGGGATGAAACTCTTCTCCCAGAGGATTCGGGCAGCTTCCCTCGCACCGGAACGCGTTGTACTTCTTAGGGAAAACGATCCACGATCCCCATCCGATCTGATTGAAGTCCACATGCATGTCGACTCTCCTGCACATCGAGCTCCTGTCCGCCGAACTCTTGACCAGCTCCGGGTTCCTCATGGGTTGACCTCGGCGACCCCTCCTGCTCTTGTGCATCTTCTCTCTCCGTATCTCCTTTCCTTCGGTGTTGAATAAGAACTTGGACTTCTCAGCCGTGTGGAGGAGACTGGCTTTATCCGGTTCTCCCAGTTCAGAGCTGGTCTGTGAGAATATTAGCAGCATTGCTCTGTGACGGATGCCGTCGAGATGCTTAGGCCCGTTTTGAAGAATCCTCACGGCTCTTTTCGCCTTCACGCGCCGTTTCTCGGAGAGCTTCGGACCGATCCAGTCTAGAAGCAGGTGTGTGACGTTATAGACCCTCCAGTTATGGGAGACGCCCATCAGAGAGGATCCTGACAGCTGGCCCAGGGACTGGTCTTCCAGACAGAATTGGTGCTGGTTGCACGGGACGTCATGCTGGTGTCTGATCTCCACTGTGATGTTCGTTTGAAGCGTTTCTCTGGGAATTCGGATCCGCAGCTCCGCGGACTGGATCTGGCGTTCGGAAAGCACAGAGGAAAGGTCGAAGTGTGTGATGTAGTGCCTGTCTTGATTGATCACACCTGGAAAAAGACGATGAGAAAATGTGAATCACATGCAAATGACAAAATACATTATTTCCATTTCATTCATTTCCATTTATACACTCTCAAAAACGCTGGGTTGTTTTTACCCAAATTTGGGTCAAATATGGACAAACCCAAATATTGCATTAAAAATGTAATTAAAATTTTTAACCCAACTTCAACTTTCACTTTCAACTGTAATTTTTCTTATTACATTTTTAACCCAACATTTGGGTTTGTCCATATTTGACCCAAATTTGGGTTGAAACAACCCAGCATTTTTTAGAGTGATAAAGTTCAACTTTTATCCCTTTGCTTATGTGTGACCACAAAACCAGTCGCATGGGTTAATTTGTGGCAATAGCCAACAATACATTGTATGGGTCAATATTATTGACATTTATTTAATTCACATTTATTTGTATAGCGCTTTTCACAATACACATCCTTTCAAAGCCGCTTTACAGAAAAGTCCACATTACAATTAAGAGTGAGTTTTTATGCCAAAAATCATTAGGATATTAAGTAAAGATCATGTTCCGTGAAGTTATTTTGTAAATTTCCTACCGTAAATATATCAAAAATGTATTTTTGTGAGTGGATGCACTAAAATCGCGAACAAAAATGTACAACTTTAAAGGCGATTTTCTCAATATTTAGATTTTTTTTTGCATCCTAAGATTCCAGATTTTCAAATCGGCCAAATATTGTCCCATCCGTATCCGTATCCTAACAACCACACATCAACGGAAAGCTTATTTATTCAGCTTTCAGATGATGCATTGATCTCAATTTCCAAACATGTACCCTTACGACTGGTTTTGTGGTCCGGGGTCATTGTGATCAACTGTTGGTGAGATTCACACAGTTTAATCACAGGCTCTTTTGATGTTGATTTTTCTCCAGGGATGAATGGCTCTCTGTAGTGCACACAAACCTAAAGGTAATGAGGTGATTTGTGCCAGCTGAACACACACACTTTGATCCTCGTGTGTGTGAGGCTCTTGTCCAGTCGAGTGTATTAGGCCTGCTGTACATTTACATTAAAATTGCTAATTGCTTTGGTTTATCTAATAAGTGTTCCTGGCTGTTTAATAGCTCTGCCGTTCAACATCAGTCTAGTTCAAATAATCATTAGAGGACTTCTTTAATATTGGGGTCATCTTCGAATTTGCACACATTTCTGGAAGCATTGAACTTTAATATATTTGGCTTGGTTTGTCAATAATAATATCAATTATTATCATTATTATTTAGAATCTTTGTTATATTTTTCTTGTTGCAGTCTAATGTTTATTCAGTTTATTCTAAATAATTTATTTTAAGCAATCATTAGACTGCAACAAGAAATGAAAATGTTTTTTTAATATTTTTCTTGTTGCAGTCTAATGATTAATCTGTTTATTCTAAATCATTTATTTTAAATACTCATTATATTGTAACAATAAAATATAACATTTGAGATAATAATAATTTAAAATATGTATTATATTTTTCTTGTTGCATTCTGTTTATTCTAGACAATTATTTCTAATTCAATTGAAATAATAATGCTACAATGACCATATAATACATATTTTAAACAATAATAATATCATACATTTATTTAAATCGATTAAAATGTTACACATAACTTATTACTGTTGTTGTTGACAAACCAAGACAAGTATATTAAAGTGCAATGCTTCCAGAAATGTTGTTAAATTTGTTATTAAACGAGCATGAATGAGGATGAAGTTTGAATATCGACAAGCTTTTGATTTTTATAAGCCTTTTATTTTCTCCCTCCTATAGCACATTAAATCTTTATATAGGCTTAAATAAGATTAGCAATAGCTAAATATTAGAAACCACAATCAATTAGTCAAAGGTGTGCACCGCATCAGTCTCATTTCTTGAATTATTATTCCGCATCAGCAATCTGATTAAAAAGCGCACAGTACCGATCTGATATTAAGTTGATCGTAATGGAGAGGCCAGGCAGTGCGACTGTAATCCCTTCAGAACAAACACCGAAACCCATCGTTTAACACCTCCAGAACTCGTGCTCGGAACCCGGAGCTCCTAATCTAATCAGACGACGTGTGAAAAAGAGCCGAGGAGGGTGATGTTGATTTGGGTTTAACAACTGATTTGTGTAAGGATGTCTGGCGAGGGTCTAATCCACATCAGCTTTGCGCAGAGCATTAGTCCTGGACTTATTCACCAGCAAGTGAGATGTGGATTGAAGGTGTCTGGCACTGAGATTTGACAGCCAGGAGCCACCGAGACCCCCAACAAAAGAGCCTGAGTTTGCACCTCGGCGCGCAATCTCCCGTTTTTTAATGCAAAAAATAAATTCATAGCATAATCTAAGCATTAAGTGAATCAAATCTTACTCTTTGATAGGATGCTCTTGATGGTGTCCGCGTGCTCGTGCTCCATGCTCTCCACGGGCCGCGTCTGGTTGAGTCTGAAATGCCTGTAGAGGTGCATCATATATGTGGGTAAATGATACCGATGGCTTCGGTCCGCTCTGGATGAGTGAAGTGACATATTCCTTGCGCCATGTTTTCCAAATACTCCAATAAGCAGAAGTTGGTAGCAGGCCAGGCGCAAAGCTCCGTGCGCAATCATGATGGACTGAAGTCAGAATGACAGGTCGAGGGGTCCAGGAGAGCTTATATACCCCCCTCCCTCTGGCCCTCTGCATATTTAACAAGTAGCAGAGGACATTAAAGGAAATTGACATGCCATGACAGCTCATCATCTATTCATGTGGTAATGCGGCGCATATTTTACAATGAACAATTAAAACACCTTGCGCCCGGTGACGTCACCAAAGTTGTTTTGCCCTTTGAAGACTGTAATGGCACTTTCACTGCACGAACTCAAGCCAAGGCGTCAGATACATGTGTGTCTCTCTCTACTCTTATCAAATGCATAAAACATAACATTTATATACTGATAGACTCAAAATAAATGTCATTTGCATGTCTTATTTTGATGTGAGGCTCTCTTGGTTCAGATCATTGTCATCGCCACTGACCTTACAGGCTTAACTTGCTTAAATTTGGAATAATTTTTTTTAAAGTGAATTTCAAGTTATGAGTTATATATATATATATATATATATATATATATATATATATATATATATATATATATATATATATATACATAACTTTTTTGCAATTTTGCATATGCCTTATTTGATCAGTATTGGTATTTATTAGGCTACTAACTAGTATAAAAGTTAATCTTTTACAGCAGACTTAGACTTTGGCAAAAAATAAAAAATGTAAGGCAGTTTCAATATATATAATAATATAATTGCTAACATAAAAGTTTGAGAATATACATGTCATTTGGTGAGTATATAGGCCTATGTCTGCGTATATCACACACATAGCCTAGCCTATATTTACAAACTTTTATGTTATGTATGTGATTAATTGATTTGATAGGACTAGTATATATATATATACTATATATACTAGTATATATAGTATATATATATATATATGTATGTATAAAATCGATTAATCGTGATTTGAATATATACATGCACACACACACACTTTTATGTTAGATGCAATTAATCACGATTAATCGATTATATAGGCCTATATACATACATGTATATATTCAAACTTATGTCAGATGCGATTAATCACGATTAATCGATTATTATACATATATATATACACATATATTATATATAGGCATATCTATCTATCTATCTATCTATCTATCTATCTATCTATCTATCTATCTATCTATCTATCTATCTATCTATCTATCTATCTATCTATCTATCAATCATATATCTATCTATCTATCTATCTATCTATCTATCTATCTATCCATCTATCTATCTATCTATCTATCTATCTATCTATCTATCTATCTATCTATCTATCTATCTATCTATCTATCTATCTATCTATCTATCTATATATATATAATTTTCATAGATGAAATGAATGGCTAGACAGACTAATATACACAATACACGTTTTCTGTTTCTGGTTGCACTGGATTTTAGGATCCTGCAGCGCCTGGCACCAAACACAGACACACACACACACGTGGACACACGCATGCTCAAATAGCCGGTCTTACACCCCGCGAGAGCCTTCTTTCTTTCTTTCTTTTTTCTTTCTTCCCTTCCTTCCCGAGCGAGTGTTTGACTCCAGCCGCGCACAGAGAGATTCGCTGAAGTGTGTGTTTGCTCAGACCAGCGGTTCTGTTTGCGAGGTGGAGGCTGTTTCACGGCGATGGTGAGTGTTCAACTTTCTGCAGTGCTTTATATCTGATCGAGCCATGCATGGATGTCCTGCATGCTTCATGAAGCTACATTGTTGTAGTTGTGAAAAGCTCGAGTTATTAAAACCAGTGTGTAACAGCCCGGATCTGTTCAGAGCGTAAATGTAGTGGCATTTCTGCGTTAGACTGCACGAATTATTCCCTCTAGATTATAACACACTCGAACGAGTGTTTTGTGATTTGTAAATGAGTTTAGAGGGCGCAGAGAAGATAGATGAAAATGATTTACCTTGGCGTTTGATTCAGTGAGTCGATTCATTCCAACGAATCTTTCGCTATTTTACGTGCTCTGTGAATAGTCAAATGATTGACCCCAACACAATACACAGTTTAGACTCGACCGAATCATTTAAATGAACCGACTCAAAAGAACGATTCGTTAAAATTAGACCGCTCTTCTATTATCAAAAGAGAATCGTTTGTGTATGTGTCGCATTGAGTTACTTTGTAGTAGCAAAGAACAGACCTCGATTAAACTAACGATTAAACTCTCATTCACGGCCATTATCTTGATATTTAAATAACTTATGAAGTCTTTCACACCCTGAGGTAAGTTTATAAAGCTTTTGAAGCGGCAGCTTGAGGAAAGTAGATACATTCATAACTGAGGGAACAATTTGTGGAGAACAAATTTCAGACCGAACATAAAAATGAAGCATTTCATTAATTGTTAGGAAAAAAGTGTGCCTTAAACAGTCTTCATTGCCTTTACGTTTCTCCTTTTTCTTGACAGGCTTCAGCTCAAATTAGAAACTCATTAAATAAATAAGACATAATCTTTTTCTCATTATTGAAAATGGATGAAACCTGTTTAAATCTTATCAATCCACATAAAAGCTATTTGATATTAGCGGATTGAAATGCTAATGTGTGGATCGAGAGTCAAGCTTATGAAGATTAATGGTGATGAAGTTCGTTTCGATGCTGTTGGGTTACTTGAGCTGATAGTCATCACAACTCAATGAATAATCCATTTGTTTGAACCTGCAATACTAGATTAGAGGAGTTTGCGTTAGGGATTGAGATAAAGTCAGGTAAAGTGCTTAAAGAATAGGTACGGGTCATTATAGAAATGAGGCCAATTGAAATTAAGCACACTGCCACCTTGTTGGAAACATGGAATTTATTTAATATCAGTGTAGATGCATTTAAAGTGGAAAGATGCTTCTTTAGGTATTTCATAAAACTTTGTTATTAGCCTGATATTGAGTCAAGTTGGTTGTAAGCCAGAAATCTATTGCACAAATACTTGTTTTCTCTAGCAGCGATTTTGTGTTTTTGCAAACAAAACACAAACAAAACATGCAAACATCCGTTGTTGAATAGAAGTCTTAAATTCTGTCTAAATCCTAAATCCAAAATCCACATTGGGATAGGCTACCCTTTCTATTTCAGCTACCTTGTAGTGTCTTTATCCTCTTACTTTCAAATTATGATGAAAAGCCAAATCATTTAAAAATTTATTAGATTTTATATATGCTGTTTCGTCTACAAATTCTTCTTAAATCAGTGTGAATAAACAGCAGGTTCCCACTGTGACAACATGCCCCGCTACTGGATTCAACATGTGCTATGTTCAAAATATTTTTGTAATCAAGACTTTTTGGTGTCTGTACAGAAATTGACTTTCAAAGAACCTACTTTTTTTTTTAACCCACCCTGAGAAATATTAATTGGAAATAGAATTCATTGGAATAATTTCATCCTAGAAACGGCATCTGATCTTGGCAGTGTGAACATGGATTGTAAGACACAGCCGTGTCGTGTAAAACCACTCTTAGAAACTTTTGCAAAAGTCACATCATGAATAAATCAGTGGAGGGATTATTTTTGGATTTTGCATGCATTGTCATTAGCACAAAGTCATTTTTGTGATGCATCTTTAAAAGCACAAGGATCCTGCAGCATTTGAGCACAGATACAGAAACGTCTAACTTCAGATTCTAGAACTTCTTCTAACATCTAATGCACTGATATGCAACGTAACTGAAGAGTTTCTATTTCTGTGTTTTGTCTTCATCTGTCATGTGTAAAGAGGATATCAGCCACTAGATGTCACGTCCAGCTTTAGTCTGTCTGATGTCAGTCCAGTAATGGTTAAACACTCAGACGGTCAGTTTTTGAAGGCACCATTCAGAAGCTGAAGCTGTGTGTCTGGCGGAGCGACTGAATGTCCTTTTTATTGTTAAACCCTCGATTTAATTTCTACCAAAATGGAAAGAAGTGCGAGTAGGAGACCGGGGATGGTTGTAACACGGGTCAGTTGTAACAATTCAATCCGTCCAATCAGGAACTAGTTACAAATCACCTGATTTACTTCGCACATGCTCAGTTTAGTCCTTATTCCACATGTGATAAAGTAGAGCTAAAGATAAAGTTATTATTTTTGTTATGAGAATTTCTGCTTTGTAGTTAAACTCATCAAATTTAAATTGTTTATTGTTTGTCTGTGTAGATATTTTTCATGCAAGTTGTTAGTGCTAATGTTTTGCCTGTTAGCTGTAAGGTGAGCTAGTTCATGGCTACATGACTTGGGGTTAGTTGTAACAACAATGAAACGTTACAACCTAACCCCTAACACCTTATACACACACACACACACACACACACACACACACACACACACACACACACACACACACACACACACACACACACACACACACACACACACACACACACACACACACACACACACACACCCGTTGCTGAGTTGTTCTTGTGTGATGGAGTAGTTCTACACCGCGACTCAACATGGCGCATATTTGGATTTATTACTTTATTTGCACCTGTTTTGAAAGCCTTGTCACATGTCGTTACCAAAGCAGCACACGCAGATAGATTGGTTGTCTGGACACACACATCTTATTTGATCACTTGCAATTAATAGTGCGGACAGTCTGCCTGAAGAGATCTGATTGGAGAAAGTCATTCGGAATAAAGCCAAAATGTCAGTTCTGTCATCAGTGTCATGACAACTCTGAGTGTTTGGCACGACAATGGATTTGACAATGTTGGTATGATTAGTCTTAGCGGAATAGATCTGCTACGCTTCTGCTGCTATTGCTACTATTATTGCTATGTTTAGTTATTACTGCTGCTGTTATTGCTGCTGCTGTTATTATTGCTCCAATATTGCTACGTTTAGTTATTGCTGCTGCTATTATTGGTACTTTTAGTTATTGCTGCTGCTGTTATTGCTACTTTTAGTTATTGTTGCTCCTATTATTGCTACTTTTAGTTATTGCTGCTGCTGTTATTGTTACTTTTAGTTATTGTTGCTCCTATTATTGCTACTTTTAGTTATTGCTGCTGCTGTTATTGCTACTTTTAGTTATTGCTGCTGCTGTTATTGCTACTTTTAGTTATTGCTGCTGCTGTTATTGCTACTTTTAGTTATTGCTGCTGCTGTTATTGCTACTTTTAGTTATTGTTGCTCCTATTATTGCTACTTTTAGTTATTGCTGCTGCTGTTATTGTTACTTTTAGTTATTGTTGCTCCTATTATTGCTACTTTTAGTTATTGCTGCTGCTGTTATTGCTACTTTTAGTTATTGCTGCTGCTGTTATTGCTACTTTTAGTTATTGCTGCTGCTGTTATTGCTACTTTTAGTTATTGCTGCTGCTGTTATTGCTACTTTTAGTTATTGTTGCTCCTATTATTGCTACTTTTAGTTATTGCTGCTGCTGTTATTGCTACTTTTAGTTATTGCTGCTGCTGTTATTGCTACTTTTAGTTATTGCTGCTGCTGTTATTGCTACTTTTAGTTATTGCTGCTGCTGTTATTGCTACTTTTAGTTATTGCTGCTGCTGTTATTGTTACTTTTAGTTATTGCTGCTGCTGTTATTGCTACTTTTAGTTATTGTTGCTCCTATTATTGCTACTTTTAGTTATTGCTGCTGCTGTTATTGCTACTTTTAGTTATTGCTGCTGCTGTTATTGCTACTTTTAGTTATTGCTGCTGCTGTTATTGCTACTTTTAGTTGTTGCTGCTGCTGTTATTGCTACTTTTAGTTATTGCTGCTGCTGTTATTGCTACTTTTAGTTATTGTTGCTCCTATTATTGCTACGTTTAGTTATTGCTGCTGCTATTATTGCTACTTTTAGTTATTGTTGCTCCTATTATTGCTACTTTAGTTATTGCTGCTGTTATTATTGCTACGTTTAGTTATTGCTGCTGCTGTTATTGCTACGTTTAGTTATTGCTGCTCCTATTATTGCTACTTTTAGTTATTGTTGCTCCTATTATTGCTATGTTTAGTTATTGCTGCTCCTATTATTGCTACTTTTAGTTATTGCTGCTGCTGTTATTGCTACTTTTAGTTATTGTTGCTCCTATTATTGCTACTTTTAGTTATTGCTGCTCCTATTATTGCTACTTTTAGTTATTGCTGCTGCTGTTATTGTTACTTTTAGTTATTGTTGCTCCTATTATTGCTACTTTTAGTTATTGTTGCTCCTATTATTGCTACTTTTAGTTATTGCTGCTGCTGTTATTGCTACTTTTAGTTATTGTTGCTCCTATTATTGCTACTTTTAGTTATTGCTGCTGCTGTTATTGCTACTTTTAGTTATTGCTGCTGCTGTTATTGCTACTTTTAGTTATTGTTGCTCCTATTATTGCTACTTTAGTTATTGTTGCTCCTATTATTGCTACTTTTAGTTATTGCTGCTGCTGTTATTGTTACTTTTAGTTATTGCTGCTGCTGTTATTGCTACTTTTAGTTATTGTTGCTCCTATTATTGCTACTTTTAGTTATTGCTGCTCCTATTATTGCTACTTTTAGTTATTGCTGCTGCTGTTATTGCTACTTTTAGTTATTGCTGCTGCTGTTATTGCTACTTTTAGTTATTGTTGCTCCTATTATTGCTACTTTTAGTTATTGCTGCTGCTGTTATTGTTACTTTTAGTTATTGTTGCTCCTATTATTGCTACTTTTAGTTATTGCTGC